TTTTTTTTTTTTTTTTTTTTTTCTTTTTTTTTTTTCAACAGAACCTTAGAGTTCTGGCGGTATGAGCCCATATTGTTTATTTCTCGAAGTTTTTTTCACTATGTTGCTTGTGGTGACGCAGCGAAAACGGCAAGTTTTCGGCCCTCCGTTAACCATACTCTCGGGTAGAGGGGAAGAAGGAAGATACCTAGATTACCAGGACTCAAGCAGCATTGCCTTGATCATCTTCCTCTCTATCATCTGATGCCCTTTGTTTGCCCTCTATACTATCGTCCGTTTCAACTTGGTCTTCATGTACAATGCTCACCTGCAGCATTTTCCAATCAAACAGACAGGCCAAGGCGCACAATAAACCGTCAAGCTTTCTCCGGTCATTGAAAAGCTCCCTCCATCCCCATAGGATCTCATGATAGACTCAATGAAATACATGCCCACCTGCCCAAAAAAAAAAAAAAAAAAAACACAAACAAACAAGCATTCAAGCATGCCCACATGCAGAAAGATGCTCACACAGAAGAGATGAACTGCAGAAGTAGCACAAACACCCTTCTCAATGTGTCGTGAACCTACGTTTCGTACGGAAAGGCCCCGTACGTGTACGTTTGGTAATGCAGTCGTGAACTACTCAAATCTCAGCTATAACGCCCGTCGCAGAGCACCTCATGCGGAGAACCGTCACAGCAACATACACATGCATGTTCCTAAAGATGTGAACCACCTCTCCTCTGGGGCTCTACCACAGCCCACCACTTCCTCCTACGTAAAGCCTGCCCCTACTTTAGATGCTCCTCCTCCTAGGATCGACTAGACCTCTCTAGCCTTTGCTAACCCCTGGCACGGCGACCATAACCCTTTATTTTGTTTTTGTTTTGTTTTGTTTTGGGACAAAGCTCCTCCAAGCTATTCGAGGGGAGCAGCACGTGCTGGGAACCGGGCCCAGCGTCCCATATTGAAATTGTACAGAAAATTTGAAGCACCAGGGACCTTTACTCGGCTTCGGCTGAGAAAACAGACTATAGACACTACCGAACAATTCCGAAGTATTCCAAACTATATCCATACCCCTTACAGTTGTCCTCACAAGGAACTGTAGACGATGGTGATCCTAGTCGCAGCACTGAGAATACTTCGTGCACGGGGCAGGTGCTGCACCGTGCAGTTGCAAGTATGAAATGCAATTAAAAAATTCATTAATAACTCCTAATCGCCCAGACAAAGTAGCAGAATACCGGTGATCTGTAAGCAGGCAAATAAATCTGTTACCCCCCCCCCTCTTGTCTACAAGTACCACAATTACTTTTCCTCAGGGCAGCACTGGAGATCTTTTTTTCTTTCCTTCTTTTTTTCGCGACCGTTTCTCGATTTGTGTATGTCATCCTTGGCGCAGGGGCCATGCTAATCTTCTCTAGATCGATCAATTTTAACGGATGTCTCAAAGGACAGCGGCACTGTAGATCTTAGGCTCGGGAAAATACAACTTTTGTTTTGTCAACATAGGTCTCGCTGGAGTGGTGGTTTTAAGCACAGGCTTTTGTTTTGTCAACATAGGTCTCGCTGGAGTGGCACAGCTGCTTGCTAAGAAGGGTGACAGCAGCAAACCCATCGAACGAAGATAGATACCTTGCATTTGCCTGACAAAGAGCGACTAGATGCCATTCTGGACCGGTGGGGAGAGAGAGAGAGAGA